TAACCTGCAAACCAGATGCTCCTGTCCAGGTTGAGTGAACCCTTCTGGCTGCTTCATGTAAATCTGCTCCTCCAAATCACCATGCAAGAAAGCAGTTTTAACATCCATCTGCTCCAAATGCAAATCCCAAATTGCTACTAATGCAAGCACTGCCCTGATTGAAATATGTCTGACCACAGGAGAAAATATTTCTTCATAATTTATCCCCTTCTGCTGCGAAAATCCCTTGCAAAAATAAAAGGAATTGCAAGTAGAATTTTACCTCAATTACTTGTTTTATTTCTTATTCTTGCACATCTACACAATCCCGATCTCCTATTTAAATCATTCAATTTATAATTTTTTTATAATTTTTTTCAACTTTCAATTTTTACATTACTAAGTAAATTTTAATATTAGTAGTCAGTAAACATTAAATTGAAATAGACTTATCAGAAATTACAAAAAAACCTAAACTGTTTAACCTTCTTGATTTCAGTTCACTGGTTCCGTCTCCTTCCCGAACACGAGCCGTCGCGTGCTTGTCTCCTCTCATTTAGTTCTCTTTTGCACAATGTATACGACACCGTACATGAAGGTGATCAAATGTAACACTCAGTTTACAACAATTTGTCAATTAGAACAAAGTGTTTTGTATACTAAAAAAGGAAATGAATCGTCAGGACGTACAATTTAAATAGAGACAAAAGGAGGAAGAAAGAAGAAGCAGACAAAGAGCGAGAATACTCGCCTTCATGGAGCGAGCAGAAGGCGACGACGTTAATGATCATCTAACAAAGAAGACGATGTGTTAGGGCTCGATGAGGGTGGCAAAGCTTGAGATTGAATCTGAAGGAGTCGTCGAGCAAAGCAGACGAGAAGGGTGAACTGCTGGGCTATGTTGATGCACGAGCAGGAAAAGGAGGAAGGGACAAGCTTCACACAGAGAAGAAGCTTCGAACAAGAGAGCTGATCCCAAAGGCCTATTTGAGCTTGGTAAGATTAAGGTATTTTTATTTAAGTTAATTTTTAGAATTTAATGTAAATATTATTTAATTAATAGTTATGTATATATTTTATAATACGCAAATGATATAGAAATGAAAGATATATAATTAATCATTTAATTCACTACTGTAGATTTTTTTTCTACCGAAAAAAACTGATATAACATACAAGGAATCTTCTGAACTCAATGTGAGTACTTTTACTTCTAAATTATGACAATAAATTTATATTTCTTCTAAATTAGTCGCATTAGAATAATATTAGTTAGCATAACTTAATACTCCTATTATTTAAATTGATAATCTATAAATGCATGCCAAAGATTTGCATATACTTATTTATTACATATACATATTATATAAGAAAGATTTTAAATGTAATTAAAATGCAAATGAAATAATTCATATTATGTTTGCATGTGCATGTTTGGCTATGATAGAGTTCACTCCTTCATAGAACTAACTAAAGAATGATAAGATAACTGTGCACGTAATTGAAAAAAAATAGTAATATTAATGTGTCTTAATTATTACAATTTTAGATGGTATTCCTGTGATATTAAAATTAAATAGTATGATAAAATAAGTTTTGAAATATCTTGATTGATCATATTCATAAACATAAATTGTCAAATGCTCTTATATTGATTTATTAAAAGTTTAACTTGTATGCATATTATTTTCTTTTTCGTTGTGTTACTATAGTTTAGAAGTATGAGAATTCATTAGTTTTGGTTAGCTCATTATGTTTTACATTAACATTTCTGGCTAAAATATTGTGTAAAGATAATAATATAGGAAATTATTTATAAAAGATGCGCACACCTAGGAATAAGATTAATTTAACTGCATTATTTATTTTCTTTTTTATAGTGACATTTTTATTTATGTTTAGATGATTAAATATTAGTTATAAAAATGAAAAAAAAAACTTTGATTACCATTGTCCAACCGTCTGTTCAAATCTTGAAAAATTCCAAGTCCCCGATCAAATCGTGACAAAAGTGGTATCAAAGATAAAATTTTGAATTAAGTAATGCAATCTTGATGAAAGAGTCAATAAAATAATTACAATGAAATTAATCATAAAAAATTAAAAATTTAAGTTAACACTAATTAAGTAATTATTTTAATTCAGACAAATGCAAAATTATAGAAGAGGATAATGTGGTTGGAAATGAAGAAGTACTACCTGCCATTATTGTGAACATGAATACCTGATCCTGATGATAGCGGTGATGACAGTTGATTCAAGAGTTCAAATCATAGCATAATGAAAGTGATACAGTTGATATTGATAAGTATTTGAAGATATTTTAATATTTGTGTTCACCTTTATTTAATGGAACTGAAGATCTGATTGAAGCAGAGAATTGACTGATGTGAATGGAGAAGATATTAGACAACATGGCATGTCCAGATGAAAGAAGAGCACCATTAGTTAATTTGTGCTTGATGGAAAAGTAGAAATGTGGTTGTGTGGGCCGCATCAGGACAAGTTAGGGGACATATCCAACGTGATGGTAAGTTGGGAGGATTTTATTGAACTTTTCAGAGAGTGGTTTGTACCATTATCCGCTCGGAAACAGATGCAATACATATTTCATTAGGTTGGTGCATGGAGAGAAGACAGTCATGCAATATGAACCTGAGCTCACTACACTTTCAAAATATGCACTGAGGTTGATCGCCACTACAAAGAAGTGTTACAAGTGTCTTTCCGGATTAAAGAATAAGATCAGACGACAATTAGTCACTTTTCTGCAACAAACTTTCTGCAAAAAAATTTCTCTGCAAAAATCCTTAGAATTTTTTTTTTCTTTTGAAATTGAAAACTTCGAGCAAAGTAAAAAATTTTCTTTCCGCCTCCAAGAAAAAAAATAAATATTCACTTTATTTCCTCTCCGTATCCGGCAAGGAAAACCTTAATTAAATTTACTTAATTTAATTTAAATCAATTTAATTAAAAATGACTCTTTTAATTAAGTAAATTTAAAAAAGAAAACTTTCCTTTACTCCAAAAAAGGCAGGGAATAGCTTCCTTTCCAGCTCCGCTCCTTTCCTTCTGCCCCCGCGCGATCTTCTTGAACCTGACCGCACCTTCCCCGCCGAAATTTCCGCCAAAAGCCTTCTGCCTCCCGCGAGCCTCCGCCGTGAGCTTCGACGCCTCCGGCGAAATTTTCCTTCGGAGCGCCGACGAAAATCGGAACCCAAGAGCCGATCCGCCGAAAAACCTTCTCCGCCGAAGCCGAAATTTCCGCGATCCGCGATTCCTTCTCCCGAGCCGCTTCTTTCGTCGAACAGCCTTCCGAACAACACCGCGAACTGCCGAACAACGGATCGCGATCCTGCCCGAACTTCGTTCTCCTGCACCCGATCCAAAGCCCTTCACACGAAACCTCTGCGGCCGAGTTGTCCTTCGTGCGAAGATCTGGAACCTGCGCCTTCGTCGTGCAAGATTTGTCGCCCTGCGCCGATGAAAATTTTCTTCCCTGCCCTCGAACCAGTCTCTGATACCACTTGTTGAGAAAATTAGGGCGAGGAAAAATAAGAACGACACAAATCCAGAAGAACACAGAGATTTAATGAGGTTCGGCAAAGATGCCTACGTCCTCGGGAGCAGAGCGGCGAGTTCCTTTCAATATTCAGAAAAGAGTTTACAGAAATTAGGAATACCTCCTGTGGTTACTAACAGACCTATTTATAACCCCAGGAGTAAACCTTAGGCACAATATGTAATTACAACTATACCCCTGTACCAAACCGCGGGGCTTTGCCCCCGCACCCCAACCCACGTAACTTCCCAATTTGGACAGATTATTCCGCTCCGCTCCGCTTCGATCCAGCATCTGTCCCGATATGATATATGAGTCATATATGAATCATACCATAACAACACCCTAGTGCCAATCGACAATATATAAACTAATTTTAGTGCCATGACACCCTAGTGTCAATCGACAATATATAAACTAATTTTAGTGCCATGATGCTCTTGAGCTCAAATATGGTGCTGAAACTCCATGCTTTGGGGTTTCATCACAATTTTTCTCTCAAAAATTGTAGCACTGGGAAGATTGCGCCTCAACATTGTTTATACCAAACCCATCCCGACACTCACAGCAGAGCTGATTGGTGAAATTGAGGGCTTTGAGATGATAGTTGTGGCCCCAATTATGCTCTACATAATAACATCACTAACACTGTTAATCATGCTTTTCAAGCCGACGTCATCAGGGATGTTAAACTAAAGATAAATGTAGCGGCAGGTCTGCGCAATTAGAAAAATTTAAATGTGATATTGGTAAATACAAATTTTTTTGGGCATTAGATATGTAAAATAAATCGTTTGCACATACAATATACATAGATGCAATCAAATGTCACTTTTTTTACATGATGTTGACAATATACTGATTCAAATGATACAAAAAACATCTCTCTGTCCACTCTTCTACCAGTCTTCAATCAACAATGGTGTTTGGAACAATATGAACATAGATTATGCTGCAAATGCATTACATACATTTGATGGTTTAAAAAAGCATTTCTCTTCCCCTGCGCTCATTTGTCTCATCTTCAAGCTGCTTCCCACGCGGGATCTCTGCAACAAGTTTCAAACAAAGAACAATCGATTTTGTTGCAAAAAATGTCTATCTTGGCCCCGATACCTCCTGCGAGGTCATGTAAGAGTAGGAGACAGCAGAGCTGCTGCTTGTAGTACCAGTGACCTGCTCTCCGGTGGTGGTGCTGCTGCCGCCGTAATCAACAAACCCCCTTCCATATAGCCGAAGAAAATTGAGAGCCTCCGGCCGTGGCTGAGTCACCTCCATCGCCCCCTCGAGCATTGCTGCCACACTGGCCATGGTTGGCCGCAGCCCAGGATCTTCATGCAGACAACACAATGCCACCTTTACTGCTAGCCTCACATCCTCCTCCCTCACCCTCCCCTCCAGCCTACGATCCGCAAGTTCCAAATATCTTCCCCTCTCGTGCATCTCCAATGCGGCCATCGGAAAATACCCCACCTCTCCAATCCCAGATCCGCCACTCGACGACCCACCGCCGCCTCCGCCGCTAGATTCAACAGTCCTGTTCTTCCGACCACGAATGATTTCTAGCAGTACCATTCCATAGCTGTAGACGTCTGTCCGGTCGGAGATTGACGAATTGGTGAGCCACTCCGGTGCCAGGTATCCCCTTGTCCCCCTCATCGTCGTGAAGAAACTGGACTGCTCCGGACTGATGAGCTTTGCAAGACCAAAGTCGGAGATTTTAACGCCGCCGCCGTCGTGGAGGAGTATGTTCTCCGGCTTTACGTCACAGTGAATGATCTTTTGATCACAGCCGAAGTGGAGGTAGGCAAGCCCTCGTGCCGCTCCGATGGCAATGTCCATCCGTTCCTGCCACTCCAGCACAGGACCAGCGGCGCCAAATAGGGGGCGCTCGAGGGATCCACGATTCATGTACTCGTATACCAGCATCCGGCGGCGGCCCTCGGTGCAGAATCCGCGGAGGCGAACCAGGTTCACGTGGTGGATGTTGCCGATGACGGCGATCTCCGTACAGAACTCCTTCTTGCCGTGAACTCCGCCTCCGAGAGCAGCGCTGATCCGTTTCACGGCTACAAAACTTTTATCGGGAAGTTGTCCCTTAAAAACCTCGCCGAAACCGCCGGAACCGATCTTGACGCTGAAGTTATCGGTGGCGGAAGCGAGGTCGGAGTAGGTGAATCGGGTTGGCAGGCCCGGGATGGAGATCTCATCGGAATCGGAATTGGAGTCGTCGCCGGTGAATCCGTGTTCGTCGCCTGGGGATGGCCATGCGGGATTCCGGCCGAGGTAGATATCTTTCATATTAGAGGGTTTTGAGGACGATGAGGTTCGGGATCTTCTCTTTCCGCTATGGTGTCGGCGACGGCGGCGATGCCATTGGGTTCCGGCGAAGATCAGGACGATGATAAGAAGGAATACTGCGATGGAAGGTAAGAGAATCGGGAGAAGATTGGAGGAGGAAGAGCCTCTGCTTGAAACCGATGGTGTTTGAGGGGTTTCCAGTACCTTGATGTATCCGACTCCGGTGTCCGAAACTCCATCGTTGGTGTTGCTAACGAGGGAACCGATCTGTTTCTTAACCAGAAAGCAGGACTGTGATGATGCCGAGTAGAAAAACCCTAGGCAAGTACAATTCCCGCTGCAAAAATCACGGCAGGAAGCGAAATCCCTTCCCGAGCTCACCGGACTCGCGAATTTGTTCGGGATGTACCCGACTCCGCCTCCCAAGCTCCGATAACTTTCCTGGCTCTTGTTTCTGCTGGTGCACCCCGATGGAGAGAAGACGGTGGAGCCATCGCTCGGCGCGCAACCGCCGTTATGCGATGCGGTGAACGAAGCAGGGCAATTGCAGGTGGCAGCCTGGTTCTGCACGGTGCAGACATCGAGCTGTTTGCAGGACGATGGAAGATCGCATAAGCCGCTCGGCGCAACGAGCGCTTGATCCAGTGCGGAACCCGTGCCGGAGTAACCCTTGATGATGAACTGACCGTTGGACTCCAATTTCAAAATGCGTAGCTTTGTCGGAGGGAGACTAACCTCGAACACAACAGTCCCGGCGGAGGAGAACAGGTAAAGCCCGGACTCGTTCGCCGCCATGTAAGCAACCTGGGAGTTGAGGTCCTTAAAAAAGCGGATATCGGAAGATAAACGCCAGAACTGTTGAGCGTCGCCGATCGACCAGAGAAGTACAGCATCGCTGTCAGTAACCATGAGGCGGTAATCATCGCCGGGAGTTGAGAGGTAGCTTCCAGACGGAAGGCGCTGGGATGATAGAAGCGTGTCGGTGGGATAAGCGAAGGATTGCCACATAGAGACGTTGGCTGCATCGAGGACGATGAGATTCCCTGAATCGAGGAGACAAGCGGCGTTTGCTGGACGAGGGAGCTTCGGGGTGGCCCAGAGAACGGTACCGTCTGGCAAGGAGATGGAGAATCCGGTGGCGTTGAAGGAGAGCTCGGCAGTGTACGGCGCGGGCTTCGCGGCGTTCGCCGACCAGACGACGGCGGAGGTCGGAGAGTGTACGATGGAGAAGACGAAGGGGGATTGCGGAGCTTGGGAGGAGAGTGTGCCGTAGAAGGTGGAGGTGTTGGAGTAGAAAAAGATTCCGCCTTTCTCAAGGTAGTTCACACTCGAGGCTGAGAAATTGGGGTAGAGGAATTCGGTGAAGACAGGGGCGGCTGCTGCGCGGCGGCGGAGGAGGAGGAGGAAGAAGATGAAGAAAAGGAGGCAACGCAGAGTGGGGGCCATGTGGGGATTTGGATTCTAGGCTCAGAAGCCATCGGGATATTCAGGTGGGCGGTGGAAGGACGCCATGAGGATAGCTGGGAGAGACGAAAGTAGGCTCGAAATCGCAAATCCGTAGTTTTCTTCGCATAGCTCGAAACTAATTAATTATTCAACTCCAAATTAATATCATATTTTACTCTAATTATATATTTTTTTTCTTTTATTTAAAATTTTTTAAATCTGTCAATTGCTTAACCAAACATAACTTCATATATATATTTTTTTCTGAAATTATACTTTAACTCTAATTGTTAAAGCTCGAGGATTACATAATTTTTCTAAAAAAAAATTTATGAGAAACAAACACGTGAATTTAATAGTTTAATTAAATTTGATGTGAAAATAAAATTAAAATAAATAAATTGTTATTAAATAGAATCAGCTCAACCTCCAGAGATTGGAGGCGACCGAGTCTCAACGGTACAGAGGGGGAGGCAACAAGTCATTGAATGCGGAGAGGAGAAAGAGGTGGCAGAGGGGAGGAGATAGGAACTGAGTTCACATGGGGATTGCCTCTAATGTTCTTGTTTGGTGTGTGATTTGGATCATTGAATAATATAATGAATAGTCCTGCCATTGCAATTACTGCGCACGCTTTTTTTAGTCCAAACTGGGACAGGCTCTTATTAATATAATTGGATGATTTAATTGTGGTGTGAATTGAGTGTCTAGAATGATAAGATGAGATGATGGTTGTGTGTTTTGTCAGCTGTGCCGTTAAATTATATTAAATCATCCAACCGTACACGCGGAAGATATTTCTTGGCAAGGAGATGGTTGTGTGTTTTGTCAGCTGTGCCGTTAAATTTGATGCGTAATTAATAGTTGAATTGATTTCCGGGTATCGTTTTTATTGGAAGATATTATGATAAATATTTAAATTTTAAATTTTTTTAAGAGATAATTATAATAAATATATACATCTTGTTAAATAATATAACAAAAAAAAAATTCGAATAGATATGAATTCAAATTAAAATTTTGCAATTTATGAATTACATTATGAGTGGATTTGAGATGCTTGGCGGTAATTATATATATATATATATATTCAGAAAAATAGGTAAAGCTTTCTAACAATCACTATATTTATGGTTCAGATTAAATAAAATACCTTCCCTCTATAAAATTATACAAAACAACAAGAAAGTAGTTTCTCAAATTAAACTGTCATGACAACTTTAAACAGAAAACAAACATAATATTGTCTCAAATATGTGAAAATATTACATTCACAGAATGTATGTATGAGGACAGTGAAGATGTGTGCAAAAAAAAAAAAAAATACATAACACCCAATTCTTATGCATTTACCTATCTTACACCCAAATTCTAATTTTTACAAACCAAGTACCCTATCTATGAATGAAAATATGAATTTCACTACTGGAGAGTCGTGAAATAGGTAAGTGTTGAAAGATCTCGAAAATACTAATTATTATATTTCATATTTATTATAACTCTATATTTAGAGGGTTATAAATTATAAGAGGGATCTTGGGAATCTCTATTTATTTCTCTCCCTAAATTAGAGAGATTAACTGCCCTTATATTTTGTAATTATTCCTTTTCTTTTCTACTGTAAGTTTTTATTATTTTCCTTATCAACAAGTCTTGTAATGAGTATTTATACCCATCTTTTCATCAATAAAATCAAGTCTGCTCATATCTTTTCACGATATCAGAGTCATACCAATCTTCTTCGGTATGATGGCTTTTCTTCTTCCTCCCAAGAAATATCCTCCGCCTCATCTGCCCCTGTTCCAACCGAAATCGATGACACTTCCTCCTTCATCACTGACTACAAATTCAATGGCCAGAACTACCTCCAGTGGTCCCAATCCGTCATGATGTTTGTCTGCGGCAGATGACGACTTTTTCACTGATGATGTCGTCGCTCCGACCAAGAATGACCCAAAATTCCAGACATGGAATGCATAAAACCACATAGTCATATCGTGGTTAATCAATTCGATGACCAATGACATTGGCGAAAATTTTCTTCTCTACGACACGACCAAGAGTATTTGGGATATTGCTCGAGAGACATACTCTCACTCAGATAACACATCCAAACTCTTCGAGATCGAGTTAATCCTCCATGATCTTTGCCAATGTGATCAATCTGTGACTCAGTATTTTAATGCCCTCTCACGTCACTGGCAGCAGGTTGATATGTATGAAGTCTATGCCTGATCATGCACTCCAGACTCCAACTTATACCGTTAGATCATCGAGCAAAAAAAGATATTCAAATTCCTTCTCGGCCTCAACAACTCTCTCGATCATGTCCGCTCTTGTGTATTGTGTATTAAGCCCAAGCCTCTCTCCACCTTGCCCAATCTCTCCGTTGACACCTCCGCCCCTCCAGCTTCGGTTGCCCTTACAGCTTGGGTTCCTCCGCCTCGACATAGCGACAACCCATCACGCAAAGGCCGTCCCTGGTGCGACCATTTCCGCAAACCAGACCATAACAAAGACACGTGCTGACTCGGTCTGATCGCGCTCCCCGTGCCAACGGCGGAGTCGCTGCCGATAACCTTCCTGCACTAGCGCCCAGTCCATTCAGCAAAGTACAACTAGATTTGTTGCACAAACTGATCGGCAAACCACCTGATATGGTTGTTCCCGACCCCATCACCAGCCTGCTCGCACATCAAGGTATGTTCTAGCATGCATTCACAGTCAATCAAAGATCCCTCAGTCAGTGGATCATCGATTCCAGTGCTTCTCATCACATGACTAGTGATGTCTCCCTTCTCCATGACTATATGTCATGCGAAGACAACTCCACCATCCGCGTTGTTGATGGCTCTGTCTCCAAAGTCACCGGCTTTGGCTCCGTGCGCATCACCCAAAACATTCTACTTTGATTTGTGCTTCATGTTCCTACTTTAAATTGTAATTTAATATCCATCGGAAAGTTGACTAGTGATCTGAGGTGTATTGCTAAATTTTCCCTACCATGTGTGAATTTCAGGATGAGGACTCAGAGACGACGATTGGCAATGTTGAGATGTGCTCGGATCTCTACGTCATCAACGGTACTTCACCACCACGACCTCGCTGCGGACATTTGTCTACCCATCATTATGTCTTCAATCTAGTGTCAATAAAGATTCCCAGATCATATTATGACATTTTTCGTCTCGGTCATCCAAATTTTATGTATCTTGCAAAACTATTTCCAAATTTGTTTATCAATAATTATGTTCGTTCCTTTCAATGTGAATTTTGTCAACTTGCCAAACACACTCGCACGTCATTTTCACGTGTTGGTTACACCTCTTCCCCGCCCTTTGCACTCATTCACAACGATATTTGGGGCTCTTCCCGTGTTACAACCCTTACCGGGACTTGGTGGTTTGTCTCCTTTATTGATGATCACGCTTGAATAACGTGGTTGTTTCTTATGAAAGATAAATCTGCAGTCGATCACTTATTTGAACAATTTTACTCAATGATCCAAACACAATTCCAAGCCTACATCCAGACACTCAAGACTGATAATGCAAAGGAGTACTTCGCTTCCGTCCTTGGCTCTTATCTCTCCTCTAAAGGCATCCTCCATCTCAGTTCTTGTGTCGAGACTCCTCAACAAAATGGGATCGCTGAACACAAGAACCGCCACCTTCTCGAGGTGGTTCATTGCCTCATGTTTTCTTCTAACGTACCTAAGGTTTTTTGGGGTGACGTTGTATCCACTGCAGCCTACCTCATCAACAGGATGCCTTCTCAGGTCCTCAAATTTCAAAGTCCAGTCTAACTTCTTCTCAAATCATTTCCCCACACCAAGGCAATTACCCAAAATCTACCTATCAAAGTATTTGGTTGCTCCTCCTTTGTTCACATTCATTCACACAATCACAACAAATTTGACCTCAAATTTACTAAATGTATTTTCCTCTGCTACTCGCCTCTTCAAAAAGGGTATAAGTGGTACTATCCTCTCACAATAAAAACTTACAACACTATGGATGTCACCTTCTTTGAAAATCAGTCTGACTACCCTAATTATAATATTTAGGGGGAGACTTTAAGGGAATATCGGTCTTAGGGGGATAATGAGTTCATATCACCACACATTAAATCCTTACCATTTGAACCGAACTCATTATCTCCCGATTCAGATTCAACAAGTTCATCCAACTCACGTGAAAATATACCTAACAATTAGTCTTCGTCTAGTTCTCAAGTGTCCAACTCGCACATAGATCAACCAACACATCCATCACCAATCCAAGAGTCAGAACCGAATCCAACTCCTATAGAAATCCACTCAGGTATGAACACACTTGAGCATGAATCTACTATACTTATGATTGATGACTTCGACATTCCAATTGCTTTAAGAAAAGGTGTTAGGTCCATCTGTCCTCCACTCAGGTACGAACACACGATGCATCTGATCTCCAACTTTGTGTCTTATGAAAGACTATTTTCAGCTTACCGAGCCTATGTCACTGCATTCGACAATACACAAGTTCCAAACACGATTGATGAAGCTCTCAAACACCTGGGGTGGAAAGCAGTCATCAATGAGGAGGTAAGAGCCCTACAAAAGAATGATACATGGACTGTTTTAGACCTACCAAAGGGAAAGAAAACAATCGACTGCAAATGGATCTTCAAAGTCAAATACAAGGCAAATGGAATAATTGAGAGATTAAAAGCACGTCTCGTAGAAAAAGATTTTTTACAGTCCTACGGTATTGATTACCAAGAAACCTTTGCCTCTGTGGCCAAAATTAACACCACCAAAATCCTTCCCTCACTTGCGACAAATGAAGACTGGCAGCTACATCAACTCGACGGGAAAAATGTTTTCCTAAATGGCGATTTGGAAGAAAAAGTTTACATGGAAGCACCTCTCAAACTAGAAGCATCCTTTCCAAGCAACAAAGTCTGCAAACTCTAAAAATCATTGTACGACCTCAAACAATCTCCTCAAGCATTGTTCGATAGATTTGCAAAATCAGTGACAAAATACAGGTATACTCAGTGTCAGGCAGATCACACTCTCGTCATGAAAACCTCTCCCGAAAAGAAGATTGCAATTCTGATCGTATACGTCAACGATATCATCCTCACTAGAAATCACGAAGAAGAA